TAACACCCACTAGGATGGCTATATTTAAAAAGATAGATAAATGTTGTCAAGGATGTGAAGAAATTAGAACCCTTATTCATTGCTAGGGGGTATGAAAATGGTGTAGCTACTTTGAAAAACAGTTGGCACTTCCTCAAAATGTTAAACATAGCTATTACATGACCTTGTAATGCCACTCTTAGATATATACGCAATAGAAACAAAAACATATATCCACATAAAAATGAAATGTTCATAGCAACATTATTCATAGTAGATAAAAAGTGGAAAGACCTAAATGCCCATCAGTTGATGAATAAATAAAATGTAGTATATCTATACAATGGAATATTATTATACTTAGCAATAAAAAGTAATCAAGTACTGATATATGCTTTAATATAAATGAATCTAGAATACATTATGGTGAGTGAAAGAAGCTAGTCACAAAACAGCATATATCGTATGATTCCATTCATATAAAATGTCCAGAATAGGCAAATATACATATAGATAGAAAGTAGATTCATGGTTGCCTAGGGCTGGGGTGTGTGTTGGGGGCATGAGGAGTGACTGCTAATGGGCAAGGGGATGATGAAAATGTTCTAAAATGTTCTTTTGGGAATGATGAGAATGTTCTAAAATTAGACTGTGGTGATGATTGTACAACTCTGTAAATGCTCTAAAAACCACTGAATTGTATACTTTATGTGAGTGAATTGTAAGCTCTGTGAATTATATCTTAATAAAGCAGTTAAAGGAAAAATGGCTATTCCATTAAATTGGAATAGCAATGTGATTTAAGATGCCATTCTATCTATTTGTTATTAAACATTGAGGTTATTTTCAGTTTTTTACTCTGCTAAATAATAGTGTAACCAAGCACTCCATTACAAAGAACTTTTTACGAAAGCTGCTATAAATCTAATAAACATGTGATGTCACTAAAGTCACCTACCTGACTTTAAGGTTACAAATCTGTCAATACTTTACAGATGTAAATAACTGGTATCTTCCATACAATTCTTATCCATAGATCAAGGTCAATAGCCTGCCCTTAAAACTCAATTATAATTGGTTTGGCAATAATAGACAAAAATACAGTGACTTAAACAAAACAGAAGTGTGTTGTCTGTCACATAAGTATAGAGGTAGGTAGCCCAAGGCTGGGATGGCAGGTTTCTCCACAATGTTCTCAGGATCTCAGGCTGTTCTCAGTCCACTGCTTTGCCAACCCTAGGGTATGGTTCTTGCTCTTATGGACTGAAATGGTTACTATCACATCCTCTAAGTAACAGGCTGAAAGAACACAGAAGGCCGGGCGCGGTGGCTCAAGCCTGTAATCCCAGCACTTTGGGAGGCCGAGACGGGCGGATCACGAGGTCAGGAGATCAAGACCATCATGGCTAACACGGTGAAACCCCGTCTCTACTAAAAAATACAAAAAACTAGCCGGGCGAGGTGGCGGCGCCTGTAGTCCCAGCTACTCGGGAGGCTGAGGCAGGAGAATGGCGTAAACCCGGGAGGCGGAGCTTGCAGTGAGCTGAGATCCGGCCACTACACTCCAGCCCGGGCGACAGAGCCAGACTCCGTCTCAAAAAAAAAAAAAAAAAAGAAAGAACACAGAAAGAGTGGGAGTGGAAGGAAAGGGAGACAAAGAGTATGTGCCAATGCCTTTAAGAAAAGTTCCCAGATGCCATTTCTGCTGTATATCCATTGGCTAAACCACTGTGACATAGCCATACTTAATTTCAAGTGAGACTGAGAATATATTCTTTATTCTTGGTAGCATGTGCTTAGATAGAAATTGGGGGTTCTAGGGCCCGGTGTGGTAGCTCATGCTCATAATCCCAGCAATTTAGGAGGCTGAGGCGGGAGGATCGCTTGAGCCCAGGAGTTTGAGACCAGCCTAGGCAACATAGTGAGACCCTGTCTCTACAAAAAAATAAAAATAAAAATTAGCCAGGTGTAGTGGTATATGCCCATAGTCCTTGCTACTTGAGAGGCTGAGGTGGGAGGACTGCTTGAATCCAGGAGTTCAAGGTGATTGCACCACTGCACTCCAGCCTGGGGAAACAAGAAAGAAAAGAAAAGAAAAGAGAGGAAGGAAGGAAGGGAGGGAGGGAGGGAGAGAGAGAGAGAGAGAAATAAAGAAAGAGAGAGAAAGAAAGAAACAAAGAGAGGAAGGAGGGAAGGAAAGAAGGAAGGAGGGAAGGAAGGAGGGAAGGAAGGAAGGAAGGAAGGAAGGAAGGAAGGAAGGGAAAGGAAAGGAAATACATTAGGGGTTCTATGTCATCATGGATAAAAGAGAAACAGACATTCAGAAATTAACTGGCAGACTTGGCCAATGACTCATAACTTACCTAATTACAGAAAACACTACCAAAAGCTAGAAAAAAATAATCTAGTCACAAAGGATGAAATAATTAAGATGAACTATGCACTAAATTAAACAGTATAGGAAATTACTATGCTTAATAGTTGAAAGCATCAGAGGAGACATGCTTGCAAAAGAATGGAGAAATAATCAAGAGTTCTAAAGCGAGGAGAACATTTTTTTTTTCTTTTTTTGAGACAAAGTCTCCCTCTGTCTCCAGGCTGGAGTTCAGTGGTGCAATTTCGGCTCACTACAACCTCTGCCTCCCAGGTTCAAAGGAGTCTCCTGCCTCAGTTTCCCAAGTAGCTGGGATTACAGGCACTTGCTGCCACACCCAGCTGATTTTTGTATTTTTAGTAGAGACAGGCTTTCACCTTGGCCAGGATGGTCTTGATCTCCTGACCTTGTGATCCACCCACCTCGGCCTCCCAAAGTGCTGGGATTGCAGGAGCGAGCCAGAGAACATTTTTTATAGGGATATTCAGAGGCAGTATCCATCAGCTACATTAAAGCAATTTTTAAAAGAAGGTTACATGAGCAATAACTAAGATCATATTGCTTTTCACTTCCCATTAAGACAATAAACTTAACATAGTTCAACTTTGTTTATTTTATTTTTTCATATGCTTCTAATTCCTGGCAGGCTTATGTTATCACTGATTTTATTGTGTCTGACAACTTTTCAAGGATATCGGCTACATTTTGCTTTATTATATACATCTACAGATACAATCACTTTGGGAAACCAAAAAAAGTGTTTCATTATAATATTTAATTTACACATGCATAATATATCAGAAAAATACTGGATACTCTCTTTCAAGAAATTCCAACATACGCAACTTGGTGCAAATTTACTTAATCCTCTTAGTCATTAATTTAAGATCTAGACAGGCTTGGTTTCTGTACAAGAAACAATCAATGGTATGTAACTATGATAAAGTATTCAGGAGAAATGCGTTTCAGGGAAAGATAATTAACATTTAAGGTTTTTGTCTTTCTGTTGTTTTGTGTAATTTATAAGATCAGAAGAGCTTAACCACAGATATGAATATAAATAAGGAAAAGTTATATGGAAAAAATATAATTCTCAAATGCTGATGCCAAAAGTAGTGTTAAAATTTTGTATTATGAAATTTGAGTCATGGGAGAAGGGCCAGGGCCAGGGCCCACATATATCCAAATGGTCAAAGCACTACAAAAAAGTGTACATTTTCTTTGCTTTTGTTCTTCTCTTTTGAGATAGAGTCTCGCTCTGTCGCCCAGGTTGGAGTGCAGTGGCGTGATCTCAGCTCACTGCAAGCTCTGCCTCCTGCATTCAAGCCATTCTCCTGCCTCAGCCTCCTGAGTAGCTGGGACTACAGGCGCCCGCCACCACGCCTGGCTCATTTTTGTATTTTTGTATTTTTAGTAGAGACGGTGTTTCACCATGTTAGCTAGGATGGTCTCGATCTCCTGACCTTGTGATTTGCCCACCTCAGCCTCCCAAAGTGCTGGGGTTACAGGCATGGGCCACCGCCCGCCTGGCCTGCATTTTCTTTACATAATTCTACAGCTGGTATTCTACGATGATAGCTTCACAAATTACACTATCATTTACAAGTCACGAAAATGTAATAAACCAATCAGACTCTATATAGCATGATCATATGAATAAAGATAACGAACAGCCTTCTTGAAATCACTACACCTCAATACTAATCAAACTGTCTAGGGTCAATGGTCTCGTAGTCTGAGGTGTTATCTGAGCTCACTGTCTCACAACCAAGAAAATTAAGGAGCCTGGACACAAGGGTGAGGTTGGAGCGAAAGTTTCATAAGCAAAAGAAAGAAAGTTCTCCACGGTGGAGAGGGGACCCGAGTGGGCTGCTGTTTTCACAGATGAATCCAAAAGCTTTTATGAGAAACTCCCCTCATCTCTGTAGCTGTTTGTGTAACTTCGCTTATCTATGAAACTGTCTGTGTAACTCTCTTTATCTGTGCATGTCTTGGGTAAGCACAAAGTGCAGCTTCTCTTGTTTGTATAACTGTGGGTCTGTTTTAGGTAAGTCCCCCACCTCCCTGTGCAAGTTCCCATGGAGCCCACCACGTAAATGCCTGAAAAGGGGAGGAAATTTTTTCCTGAAAGCCTGCTAATCACACAAAGAACAAAGGCTCTATGCTGGGCCTTGCTTTCTTATCAGTGCAGCTGCAGTTTGGTTTTTTCCCAGGTTGCTCTATTTATGCCTGTAGCTGTGATTTTTTCAGGCTGTTTCTCCGAGGACTAGCCTTAGTGGTCTGCCTAACTGATTTTTCCTTTTCTTTTCTCTCACTATTTCAGCTTATTTAAAAGACAAGCATGTTGGCTTGTTTCTGGGTCTGCTTTGTGGATCTGCAGTCCTATTATACCTGGCACAGAAGCTACAGCATATGCTCTTTGGGAGAGTAGGGAAGCATTTGCCTAGAAAATCAAGAGGGTTGTGTTCCAATTCTGTTTTGGCCCCCAGTTAGTCCCCCTAAGTAAGACATCTTCTCAAGATCCTTATTTCCTCATTAAAAACAATAAGTGAACTGGACTTGTTCTTTAAGGTCCTTTCTAGAACTGTGATTCTAAGGTGACTTGCAGGTTCATCTAACAAGACATAACACTCATAGTCTGTTTATGTTAAGTCACTTTTCAAATATTTATTATGAGAAACCATCCAACATGAAATATGAATTATTAAAATATTTTTCTCCATATGTTTCAAGTCAGAAACAGTAATTCTGAACTCAGCTAGCATCCTGATTTTTTAAATCAAAATAAGATGACCAGAATCATAAAAATTAGCATTCACAGTATTCAATCTAGAAAAAATATAATTAATAGAATGTTAAAGCCAAAAGAGCATTTGACAGACAGAAAGAGAAAGAGGAGAGAGAAGGGGAGGAGAAAAAGAGAGAGGGAAAAGAGAAAGAGAGAAATAGAAAGAGAGAGAGAGGAGGAGGAGGAGGATTGAGAAATGGAGAGTTTGAGATTGAGACTTCTCATGAAATATATTTTAATGACAATTACTCCTTAACAACTGTGCACTGAGAATATTTGAACATATTGTTATAAGCTAGGGAAAAAAAAGTCCAGCCCAAATGTGAAAACACAGAACCAAAATGATTCTGAATTTCCTAAAGACATATTTTGAGAAACAGAAAAATTCTTTCCCACTTCTCTATCCCCCAGTACCAAAAGGGAGCATTTTACGTTATGCACATCTCGATAATATTTTATAGAAAATAAATGCCAAGATATTTACAATTTAATTTAATATTTCTTCTTCAATTTGTTTTTTATAGCAGACATATTAATTTCATTTTGAACATGATATGCCAAATACCCTGAGCTTCCAGGAATGAAGTCATGTAGCTCCCCAAGGAATTTCTTCATGGCATCAATTGATATATAACCTACAAAATAAAATAAAAAATATATAGAGATATATACTTGAAACCCTCTCATACTATTTGCTTTTCAGTGTCTTTGATTTATTAGAGTTAAGACTTCTAAAGAATGTTTTTAGAAAAGAGGTAAAAAGAAGAAATAATACCAGTGAGAAGATGTTCCATGAAACCTTATAACTATCAGGGAATACCTCCTCTTCCCCTTCCCACAACTTTCTGCCACCTTTTAAGAGATTAAAAGGTAGATTAAAGCCGCTTTGACTATTGAGATTGTGATGTCTAGGTTGGGGCTAGAACATAAAAGTACTTAGACCAAAATAACTGGGAAGTGTATCTAGCTTAGAGGGTAATCACTTAGAACTATCCATCCAACCAGCTACTAACAGTGCAAAGAGTTCATCTTCCCTGTTTCAGCAGGTAACACTTTCCTGCACTGCTAACACTGGAATAGGATTAAAAAAATAATGAAAAATCGATATTACTGCTCAGTCAACAAAGATAATGGATAAGAGTAATTTTGATGTCAATTAGTTATTCAAAATAGATATGAGTCATATAAAAAAACACTGCCTAGAATGGAGACGGTTTAAGGACTCTATCACTAAGCAATATTAATTTGATATCAATTGCTTACTATTTAAATGATTACATTTTATGTGTAACACAAATGTTTGTGGCTTTTACTAAAATTGAAATCTAATTTAAAAGTAAATATTGTGTGAAAAAATTCTGGTAGAGCTCAAGGATGACTGAATTTAGAACACTGTACCATCAAGATCAACAGGATATCCATGCATACTGTTTAATCATTTCTAATAAAAAATAATAAATTCACAGTTAATAAATTAACTATGAATCTAAGCATATAAAATTGACTAGTATCTTTAAAGATATTTTAATCATGGTCATTTACTTTAGGAGCTCTTCAAGCACTATTACTATACTCTATGAGTTCATAATCTTTGCCTAATGGCTATGTATCTGTGTAAAATAAACTAGTGCAGAAAAATATTAGTGTTTAGTTAATTGCACACATACACTGTGTGAAACCTCTGAAGATGTGTGAGGATAGGAATTTAAAAATTACTACATTAGTAAAAAAATATTCCTGTAAGTATAAGAAGGATAGGATATTTATAGCATCAGAAATAGATTATTGTAATTTTTGAATAGGTAAGGACTTTAGGATGAAGTGGACAGAAACCTAGTTTAAACTAATTTAAACAAAAGGGGAGTTTACTGGAAGGACATTGCCATATCATCCGAGCTGTGAGGAAGGCAGGCATATTGCTAGGACTCAGAGTTAATTAGAACCAGCTACGATCGCTCTCAACCAGTCTGAAGTTTTTAGGGGGTTTTTTTTCCTGGTCTGTGTGTGTGTGTGTGTGTGTGTGTGTGTGTGTGTTTTGACAGGGTCTTATTTTGTTGCCCATGCTGGAGTGCAGTGGCACTATCACACCTCACTGCAACCTTGGTCTCAAATTTTTCTCTATGTGTTAGCCTCATTTTCCTTTTTGGAAGCAAGTTGGCTTTCTTTTCATGGTAGAAAATATGGCCAATGACAGCTCCTAAGTTTTACATCTTAGACTTTTGATCCCCTAAATGAGAATGACTTGATTTGCTATGTTCCATATCTAAAAATCCAGAAGATCTGCCATTAGCCCAGTTCAAATCAGGCATTCACTCTCAAAGCAAATGTTGAGGGTGGGGAGTAAGCTCATGTTTAAAAAAATGTCTGTTCCTGTGTTATTCAGATAAACTGGGAGGGAGAAGGAGAAGGGAATTCCTAAGAAAGGCACTCCTGGTGGACAGTCCCACATGCATCTGTGATAGCCAGCCACTCAGTGGTCCCCACTGATCCCCACCTCCTGATATTCACAGTCCACTACCATTTTGTACTTGGTTTGATCTGTATAACCAATGGCATATGACAGAAGTGATGCTATGTCACTTCTGAGAGTCAGATGTAAAAAAGACTAAGGCTTTTGTCTTGGACATGCTCTTTCTTATTCTTGGATTTTTTACGCTGAGGGAAGCAAACTACCTACCATGTTGTGGATAGTCTTTACGGAGAGGCCCATTTAGTGAGGAGCTGAAGCCCTTAGCCAAAATCCAGCAAGGACCCAACACCTGCCAATAACCACTTGAGTGAATTTTGAAGTGGATTTTCCAGTCCCAGTTGTATGTTGGAATGACTGCACTCTAGCTGACAACTTGACTGCAACCTTACAAAAGGCTATGAGACAGAAGTACCCAGCTAAGATACTCCTGGATTTCTGACCTTAGAAACTGAAATAATAAATGTTCACTGGGCCAGGGGCAGTGGCTCATGCCTGGAATCCCAGCACTTTGGGAGGCCAAGGCAGGAGGATTGCTTGAGCCAGGAGTTCGAGACCAGCCTGGGCAACCCAGTGAGACCTCATCTCTATAATAAATAAATAAATAAATAAATAAATAAATATTCATTGTTTTAAGCTGCTAAGTTTCGGAGCACTTTGATTTACATCAATAAATAACTAATATAGCATCTATTATAGATTTCCAAACTTTTAATTATCAGAACCTTTTGATTTGAAAATTGTTGCCAGCAAAGTATTTACAATTATTAGTAATTGCTTTCTTACTCTTATTAATCACATATGTAACTGTCAATCAGAACTTCTTATCATGGGTGATAACAAGTGATATTAGTCTGAGAGAATTTAATTCCAGTCAAAAGCTGAAAATAAAACAAAAAATCTTTTGATGTTTCAGGGGATATTTGGCAATGTCTAGGGACATTTTTGGTTGTCACAACTGGGGGAGAGATTTGTGCTGCTATTGGTATCTAGTGGGCAGAGGCCAAGGTAAATATTCTATAATGCACAGGACTGACACTCTCCTACCCTCGCCCAAACAAAGAATTATCTGGCCTAAAATGCCAGTAGCACCAAAAGTGAGAAACCCTGTTCTAGGCTATTGCCCCAACTTGTATTTTCTATAAATAAAGACCACAATTAATTCTATTTTCGGAAATTTAATAGTCAATGAGTTGAACCCAACCCATTCCGAGGAAGAGATAGTCAAGTTTTAGTCTCAAAAATTGATACCACAGCCTAAATTAGAACTCTTAGTCACTAAGTGTTTAATTAACACAAGCTGATTTTTTCCAACAAGAAGTTATTCCTTCCTGTGCAAGCAGATGGGCATGATAAAAAAGAGAAGTACTTGTCATTTCACATCAAAATTAAAAACAAATAAATTACCTCTAAAAATGAAGATTTCTTTCAAGAAATTGCTATTATTTAATGCAGAAATACAAAAAAGCAAATTTATCCAATTGAGCAAATAAAAACATTAAAAATTTTTACTTTAGTTCTACCAATAAAATTCACAATAGAGTATTACCACAGATTGAAATTATACTTTTAAAATTGTAATTTTAAAATAGTTTTAAAAAATTTGTTTTTGTGTTACACTGTTATGTCTTTTTGAACAATCAGACTGTTTCTTTATCCAGCAATAATACATAAAGCAGCACTATCACATGTCCAAATGTAGGTATATGTCCTTATCTATGGCTGATTTTAATATTTATCATTGTTCTTTTAAATATATTAATAAATGTTTGGTAAGTCCAAATGAACAGGGATAGTAATATGGCAAGACATCTAGGATCTAGGAAACTGGACTAGCTGCAAGAGGCAGTTTTAACATTGCTAAATAAAGAGAAAATGATGAATACACAAATTATTTTTTAAATAAGTGTTCAAAAACCCATACTTTAAAAATTGCTCTTTTAAAAACAATTTTTTAAAAAATCTTTATTTTTAAAATTGTTATCAATGACTCCACTGAATACTACTCAGATCAAAGTATCTAAATATCCATCTCACTCAACACAATTCAAACCCCAATGGCCACTTTTCAGTTGGTCCCCTTGGTTCTACCCTCTCAATGTCAGCTGTGGTTAGTTGTCTTCTCTTTATGTAGGACACTAGCATAGGAAACCCAAATATGGAGTCCATGGACACCTAGGTAATCCATGTATAGGCTTCTGGGCATCTGTGAGCCTTTTACAGTTATATGTAAAGTTTGTGTGTTATGTTTTTTGTTTGGTTTTTAAAAGACTTATATATTTGATATTGAATGGAATGGCAATATGTGTGTTATGTTTGTATGTGTGTATGCTAAGGAAAGGGGCCTGTGTTTCATCAGATTCTCAAAAGAAACTATGATTGGGGCTGTTCATATAATTTATCTTCCAAACTAGGACACTTGAGAATTAAAAACTAATGCCAGAACAACAGCATAAACCACATGTAAATAGGGACATGCGGTCACCCTACCTTGATACCATTGTTTTAGCACAGAAAATATAAAAGCATATTCCTGGGTCAATTCTGCAGGTAATTTACTCAGTATGTAAAGGATGTCTCCTCCATTACCATGCTTAATAGAGAAGGCTCTACTTTCTAGGCATTTGAAATACAACAGCTTTATTCAACACAATATTCCCTTTTCTTCCCTACCTGAGTTTACTGTAAATTTTATTTTAAACTACCTGTTACCATGTTGTTAACTGGGTAATTCTGTAGAGGGAAGTACATCTGCTTTTCTACAACTGGAGTTCTTATAAAATGCTTTTCTGGGCTGTAAAATAAAACATATACAAAGTCACATATATATATTATATATGTCTATATGTATTACATTTATATTAAAATATATTTATAAATACTTATAATAAATATTTACATTTACTATAGTATATTACACCACATATGTATATATTTGGATTTGTTTTACAAGTGAGAACTCATTCCAGGCAATATATATAGTGATTTTTTAAAAATACATAAAATGCTTCACAAATATGCATGTCATCCTTGTGCAGGGGCCATGCTAACCTCTGAATAGTTCCAGTTTTGGTATATGTGCTGTCAAAGTGAGCACATATATAGTAATTTCATTGCCCTTTGATCAGACTTCAGTCTTAATGGGGGAAAATGTTAATTATGAACTTCTTTTGTGCTTTTAAGTAATATAAAACCCCATATAGATATTCTGGTGTTCTTGGCCACTTTACGAAATAAGTATTTGAGTCTATAGAGTCCTGGGTCTTTTTCTCAATACCCCTGAAAGTACACTAATGCAATACTATATATTCAGACAAAATACACATATACATATGTAATATTAAATCTGCCAAAAGAAAAGCATAGTAGATTCTATTTTAAATGATCACAACATATTTGTTAGTGTTCAAATAATTGGGCCTCTATTAACTAGTACTTCCACAGTTTACTATAACAAATAAAAACTGATGTCTAGGCCCAGCTCAGTAGCTCATGCCTGTAAATCCAGCACTTTGGGAGGCTGAGGCAGGTGGATCACCTAAGGTCAGGAGTTCAAGACCAGCCTGGCCAACATGGTAAAACCCCATCTCTACTATAAATACAAATCAGCTGGGTGTGGTGACATGCACCTGTAATCCCAGCTATTCGGAAGGTTGAGGCAGGAGAATCGCTTGAACCCAGGAGGCAGAGGTTGCAGTGAGCCAAGATTGTGCCACTGCACTCCAGCTTGGGCAACAGAGTAAGACTAAATCTCAAAAAAAAAGAAAAAAATTGATGTTCTAATTATACAATTATAAAATCTAAAAAAAAAAATTATATTCTAATTTTTAAAAGCTAAAAGGTGGCCAGGAACAGTGGTTCACACCTGTAATCCTGGCATTTTGGGAGACAGAGGTGGGTGGATCACTTAAGGTCAGGAATTTGAGACCACCCTGGCCAACATGGTGAAACCCTGTCTCTACTAAAAATACAAAAATCAGCCAGGTGTGGTGGTGGGCACCTGTAATCCCAGTTACTTGGGAGGCTGAGGCAAGAGAATTACTTGAACCTGGGAGGTGGAGGTTGCAGTAAGCCGAGATGGCGCCACTGAACTCCAGCCTAGATGACAGAACGAGACTCTGTCTCAAAAAAAAAAAGCTAAAACGATCTCAACTAAAAGATCCTATTTTCATTCATGTCTTTTTGAACAGTCACTATTTAAAAGTGACAATGTTTACTATACTTAGACCACATATAACTAATAATATAATTGTATAAGAAGAATAACCTCAATAATTAAAAATTGGAGTCATCCTTAAATTTATTATTTTCCTAAAACTCTAGAAGTACACTGAGTAATAGCAAAGGCTTTATTTTCCATTTTTAAGGCTGGGTGCGGTGGCTCACGCCTGTAATGCCAGCACTTTGGGAGGCCGAGGGAGGTGGATCACCTGTGGTCAGGAGTTCCCGACCAGTCTGGCCAACATGGTGAAACCCTGTCTCTACTAAAAATACAAAAAATTAGCCGGGCATGGTGGCGCACACCTGTAATCCCAGCTCCTCAGGAGGCTGAAGCAGGAGAATCACTTGAACCTGGGAGGCAGTGGTTGCTGTGAGCCGAGATTGCGCCATTGCACTACAGCCTGGGCAACAAGAGCGAAACTCCGTCTCAAAAAAAAAAAAAAAAAAAACTTCCATTTCATTTAAACTCTCCCAAAAGAAACTACTCATTAGGATGAAATCCTACAAATAAAGCAAAATTGTGTTCCCAGAAAAGTCAGGGACCACCCATTATTTAATTCTGGCCAAACAATAACAGAAAAAGGGAAAAGAGGTTGGGGGGGGCATTTGAAAAGGAAGACATATTGTGAAAGAAGGAATACTTTCATTACTTTATAAGTCTCACCTTGTCGCCCAGGCTGGAGTGCAGTGGTACGGTCTCGACTTACTTCATGCTCAGGCCTCCCGGGTTCACGCCATTCTCCTGCCTCAGCCTCCCGAGTAGCTGGGACTACAGGCATCTGCCACCACGCTTGGCTAATTTTTTCTATTTCTAATAGAGACGGGGTTTCATTGTGTTAGCCAGGATGGTCTCGATATCCTGACCTTGTGATCCGCCTGCCTCAGCCTCCCACAGTGCTGGGATTACAGGCGTGAGCCACCGCGCCCGGCCAGAATACTTTCATTATTAACAAATGATATGACTATGCACCCTGAAGAGCCAAGAGAATCGATTAAAATATCCTTAGAATCTTAAGGAATTCCAAATGGGTAGATATAAGACCAATACCCTCAATTCAATAACTCAGAGTGGCTGCTTTCGCTGGTAAAGTGGAGGTATCTTCAAGGAAATCAGAACCCGCGGTGATCCCTGGCAACTCGATCTGTTTGGGGCTGTTTCTAAACATTAGGGAACGGAAACTCGGTGGTGGCCCTAAGTAGCCTGGTTTCGGGCTCTCATGGATGCACTCATAGAAGGTGATACCTGTACGCTACCTTGTGAAAAAATCCCAGCAACTCCAGTTTCAACATATTGAGGAGATGCTTCTGTTGCTTCCCATTTTGCCCATATGAAGACATCAAAAAAGGACTTAAGGATTCAAGAGAAGTCTTATGTTAAAAAAAGAATTAGATTTTTGGAAGAAAAGCTTACAGGAGCTCAATCAGATGGAGAAACAAGTTTTGTGGAATAGCAACAAGTAAATAAGGCCTATTATGTATATTGAAACATTTGCATTGATAGAGATAATTTAGAAAGCCAATCAGATAAAATGAGTGAACACAAGTCTGAATCTTTAAAATTACTGAATGAACAGATGCAATCTAAAGAAGTAGAACTCTAGCTAAGGACAAAGGTGGAAACTCAGCTGGTGACGAGGAATTTCAATCTACCTTCATCAAACTGGGAGGTGGAAAAGTTAAGCTGTGACCTGAAGATCCATGGTTTGGAACAAGAGTTGATGAGGAAAGAATGTAATGATCTCAAAATAGAACCACTCAAAAACCAAACAAACCTATCTGTATCAGGAAGACAATCTAAAGAGCAGAGATCTCTGAAGAGTAAGAACTTGAAGTGATAATACGCAGAATGCATACTGGCAACTGAGGAGATAAATGTCTAATTTATATCTGGTGACTCAAGTGCTAGCTGAACTATTAAGAAAACTGAAAACCCCAACTTCAATCAAGACAGCCTGCACCTCAGTAGGATGCATTGAAGACCCTTGCAAAGATGGCACAAAACTGCACATGATTAATTTTACTGCAACATGTACAAGACATCCCCTTCTCTCACCAAATGGCAAAGCTCTTTGCTATACTACATCTTCCCCTTTACCAGGAGATATAAAGGTTTTATCGGAGAAAGCAGTCCTCCAACCACGGACAGATAATGAGAGAGCCATTCCTAATGAGGGCACACACTCTTATGGCAGAAATTCTCTGGAAGATTATTTTGAGTATTCCCAATCCCTCCTGACACTAGTGAGACAGCATTTAGGGAAATTAAAAGTAAAATTTTGGCCGGGCGCGGTGGCTCATGCCTGTAATCCCAGCACTTTGGGAGGACAAGGCGGGCGGATCACGAGGTCAGGAAGTCGGACCATCCTGGTTAACACGGTGAAACCCTGTCTCTATTAAATATACCAAAAAAATCAGCCGCGCGTGGTGGTGGGCGCCTGTAGTCCCAGCTACTCGGGAGGCTGTGCCAGGAGAATGGTGTGAACCCAGGAGGCGGAGCTTGCAGTGAGCCGAGACCACGCCACTGCACTCCAGCCTGGGTGACAGAACGAGACTCCGTCTCAAAGAAAAAAAAAAAAGTAAAACTTTGCCTTTTAACCAATATGCCACCACTGCATTACTTGGATCAACATAATCAAAATTTCCTTTATAAGACTTAACTCTGAAGAGATTTATCATTTCATCACAAGGACACTATCTCTCAGTGGTTCTCTCAAGAAATTATTTAACAAACTAAACGTAGATATTGATTAAAATTTTGGAGAGTCCTTTAGTACATGCATTTGAACGTACTGTATGATATTATGTAGTTTATTTCTAGTATGAAAGAATACCCTCCAGCTCCATATTCTAAGAAACAGTTATATGCTACTAATTTTTTTTTTTTTTATATTTTATTTTTTTTTTTTTGGTACATAGCTTCACTGTTTCACTTTGGTTGAAGCACAGTAGAATGACCACAGATTGCTCACTGCAAACCTCAACTCCTAGGCTTAAGCAATCCTCCTGCCCCAGCCTCCCAAGTAGCTAGGACTACAGGAGTATACCACTACACCCAGTTAATTTTTTTTTTTTATCTTTTGTAGAGACTGGGTCTCTCTCTGTTGCTCAGACTGGTCTTGAACTCCTGGCCTCAAGCTGTCCTCATGCCTCAGCCTTCCAAAGTGCTGGGATTACAGGTGTGAGCCACCATGCCTGACCTGCTACTATACTAATTAATAAATACCTTGGGCCCAGAAGTTCAAGACCAGCCTCAGCAACATAGTGAGATGCCATCTTGACAAGAAAAAAAATTAATTAGGCTGGGCAAGTTGGCACACATGTAATCCTAGCACTTTGAGAGGCCTAGGAGGGTGGACTGCTTGATGCCAGGTGTTTAAGACCAGCCTGGCCAACATGGCAGAAACACATTTCTATTAAAAATACCAAAAACAACTGGCTATGCATGGTGGTACATACCTGTAGTCCCAGCTACTCAGGAGACTGAGGCATGAAAATTGCTTGAACCCAGAAGGTGGAGGTTGAGAGGTTACAGTGAGCCAAGATTATGCCACTGTACTCCAGCCTGGGTGACAAAATGAGACCCTGTCTCAAAACAAATTTTTTTTTTTTTTTTTTTAATCAGCCAGGTGTGGTGGCACACATCTGCGGTCCTAGCTACTCAGGAGGCTGAGGTGGGAGGATGGCTTGAGCCCGGGAGTTCCAGATTGCAGTGAGCTATGATCATGCCATCTCACTGCAGCTTGGGTGACACAGCAAGATCTTGACTCACATGCAGACACACACACACACACACACACACACAATTAAGTAAATAAATAAATAAATATAAGGTGTTTAAGAAAGAAAAAAACTCCTCTTTATACCGTAATTTCCACATCTGAGAATTTACATGAAGAAAACTATCAAAAAAGTAGAGTAAGATTTATTTTTAAAAAGATGTTCATGGAGGTGTCATAAAAGTAACAAATTGTAGGCCAGGTGTGGTGGCTCATGCCTGTAATTCTAGTAGCATTTTGGGAGGCTGAGGAAGGAGGATCTCTCACCAGGGAGGTTGAGGTTGCAGTGAATTGAAATGACACCACTGCATTCCAGCCCTGGGGGTCAGAAAAAGCTTTTGTCTCAAAAATAAGTAAATAAATAAATAAATGTGTTAAACAAACAAAATGAAATGCCATATGCTGCCATTTCACATCATAATATCAAATAAGATTTTTCGACTAGGCCTGGTTTATGCCTGTAATCCCAGCACTTTGGGAGGCTGAAGCAGGTGGATCACTTGAGGCCAGGAATTTGAGACCAGCCTGGGCAACATGCCGAAACCTCATCTCTACTAAAAACACAAACAATTAGCTGGTGTGGCGGGGTGGCATGTGCCTGTAGTCCCAGCTGCTCAGGAGGCCGAGGCACAAGAATTGCTTGAACCCAGGAGACAGAGGTTGCAGTGAGCCAAGATCACACCACTGCACTCCAGCCTGCACTCTAGACTCCAGAGGAAGATTCTGTCTCAATTAAAAACAAAAAATGAAGGTTATTACTGGGAGAGGATTTGGGAGAAATTAGGATTTTATACTAATTCTGTACTGCCTGATTTTTTGTACATCAAGTTTGTATGATGTAAAAAAAAATCAATGTCCCTAGTAGTATGCTAACAAATGCTCCAGCAGGAAACTGAGGGTATATTTTATCTATGTTCACACTGCACCCTCTGCTGTTTCCACAAAGAAAAGGCTCGAAGTAGACACCTACCCAGGGTTTATTCATATTCTTTGTCTATTTTTGTTGTTTTTGGATTGGACGTATTTTTCCCAGATTTGTAATACCTGTTTGTATACTAAGGAAATTAGCCTTTATGGGAGAAAAACTTGAAAAATTATATAAATTACATCATTACTTTTTATTTTGAAGACTAATAACTACTGTTTGATCATTTTTATTACAGTAGCTAAATACCAGACTGCAGGGTACCCCAGTCCCATCCTTCCCTCCCCCGATTCTACTCCTGGCTTCCTTTCCGTGTCCTGACCAAAAATCACAGAGTGCTTTGACTGCTCTGCGAGATAGCCCAGTGCAGGGTTCTCCCAGCGGGCTTGAACTCAAACCAGGACCTTAAACATTTCCAGGGACTGATAAAAGTATCTAGGTTGCTGCTCAAAACACTGAAAGAAACTGGCCTCAGCCCTGAGCCAGATTCCTTAAACCCTCATACAAACTCCATACCCAGAACCCCTCACTGTGGATATACCTAGGTAGAACACCCCTTTTATCTTGTCCATTGTAAGGATTGGTGCAGTAATCTGCAAGTTCCCTCAATAAATGCTTTAGACTGATTACTCTACTTAGTGGTTCTTTCTTTAGAATCCCAACTGACCACAACTTGGGACAGTCTGGGGCACTCCCTTGTGGGGACTCCCCTGCCTCCACTTTTAGGTTGACTCCGGCCACAGGTTTGGAGGATAAAACATACACTTCTGAAGAATCAATGTTCCCTATGAATATTTGAAAAACAACTGAATTGGAAACCATGGAACTAGAACTAGATCATATATAAGCCTGCAATGAGAAGGCCTCTCATAAATTGGTCCTAATATAATGGCAAGGCCATGTTTGTTTGTCTTTTTAAATTAATTTCTTGTTTTTCTTTGAGACAGAGTATTGTTCTGTCTCCCAGGCTAGAGTGCAGTGGCGTGATCACGGCTTACTCCTGGGCTCAAGTGATCCTCCCACCTCAGCCTCCAAATAGCTGGGACTACAGGTATGTGCCACTATGCCCAGCTAGTATTTTAAATTTTTTATAGATGGGGGTATCCGTATGCTGCCCATACTGGTCTCAAATTCCTGGGCTCAAGCGGTCATCCGGCTTCAGCCTCCCTAAGTGCTGAGATTATAAGCATGAGCCACAACACCCAGTCTAAATTTAATTTCTTAAACCAAAGTAATATATTACAAGCAATTTGGAAAGAAGAGGGGAAATCACTCACCAGTTTTCATCCTAATAAAATTACTGCTAATATGTAGTGTATTTCCTTCCAAGTAAAAAATGTATTTTAAGATTCTTTTGTAGTTCATAAGCATGATGATTGGGTTTTCACACACAGAAACATATAATTTTAAAATAATTTATTAACTGTTATCATACATAAAGTCCTTGTTTCCTTTCTGCAGAGACAGTATAGTGTATTATACTATGAGATAGAACAGTATGCTACATAGTAAATACGTAGTATAGTATTTAATTACTGACACTTAAATGAATGGGCTCTGACTCACTTCAAATCCTGCTTCTCCCCTACTTAATAAAAGTTTGTAAGACTTTGGCGAAATTGCTTATCTTTCTAATCATAGATCTCTTTTTTTTGTATAATGGGAATGATTATAATGCTATCAGTCTCATAGGAAAACTGAAAATTAAATGAGATAAGCACACAATCAGTGCTCACAGATGTCTACATTGAATTGCGTATCAGTGAAGTTTATGAATTCAGTACCTTTCGGATAATTCTTTTTTGTGCTCTGTTGCTAGTTCACCGTTTTCCCTAAGGATCTTTATTTCATTTGGTGTTACTTCATCATGCTGTGGATAGAAAAATAAATCACAGTTTAAAAAAATCATCATACTAATGATTCAATCAGTAATGTTTCTAAAAAGGAAAAATAAACTGGCAATATATATATATCAAAAGCCATAAAATATTTACACATTTAAGTCCACTCAATCTAGCTTGGTGGAGAAAATTTATAAAATTTTGTCCACACACATATAATTATACTATATATTTTTAGAGACACATAAAGAAGACGAGAATTTTAAATATACCAGCTGTGATTATGTCAGATAAGCAAAACTTTGACTGATTTTATTCTCCTTTCAATTATTGAAATTTCCTCTAATGTGGTTATATTACTTTTTAGTCACAAAAATAAGGAAACAAAAAAACTTGCTACTAATTTAAACTTTCTTAAAATCCTTGACTTAAGGATTCCTGGGCTTCCTGTGAGCTACAAATCAAAACTGTAAAATAAGCTGAACAAATTATATTTCTCCTTCAAAAGGACAGTGAAGTATTTAGCTGTAAAGATATAAAATAACTCAATGTATGTTAAGCTTTTCCTAAATATTTTGTGAAAGCAACTTAGATACTGGTGTCTATCACATAATCTTTTTTATATACCATTAAGAAGTTTCTTTTCTTTTCTTTTTCTTTCTTTTTTTTTTTTTTTTTTTTTTTGAGACAAAGTCTTGCTCTGTCACCCAGGCTGGAGTGCAGTGGCATGATCTCTGCTCACTGCAACCTCCACTTCCCGAGTTCAAGCAATTCTCCTGCCTCGGCCTCCCAAGTAGTTGGGATTACAGGCACCAGCCACCACATCTGGCTAATTTTTTGTATTTTTAGTAAAGACGGGGTTTTGCCATGTTGCCCAGGCTGGTTTCGAACTACCAAGCTCAGGCAATTAGCCTGCCTCATCCTCCCAAAGTGCTGGGATTACAGGTGTGAGCCACCGCGCCCAGACACTATTAAGAAGTTTCTGTATTTAAATAAAAACTTAAATCCACTCCAAACAATAATAATGATAATGCTCCCCAGATTTACCCTTGTTATTGCCATTCGATGAATACCTTCCACTTATATGTACTATGGTTACATGATTATAATTGGCTAATACTCATACCAACCAATATTGTGAAAGAATTGACAAACTTTTTTATCATGTAGTAATATAACTTCTAGAGTCAACATCCATACAAGTATGTTCTAGTAATTTTTTAGTAGAAAAAACATTGGATTGGGTTAGAGCTGAGAAAATTTAGCTCCACTTTGCTAATATCTGCCAACGTGTACTAAAACAGGTCATTATATTTTCTTTCCCTTAGTTTTCTCATGTATAAAGCTAAATGATGAAATTAGTGATCTGTAAACTCTAAAGTTTTGGTAGAGTCAATAATTACCATCAAATAATAACCCTTGCATTACTGCTCACATTCCTGGAAACACTGTGAAAAGTCAAAGATTAGATATTCAGTCCTTAGTACAACATACTGTTACCTCCTAGAGAAAAAAGCTGAAAGAACTATTATTTTCAGATGATGATGCCCTGGGAAGAAAAAGCAAATTAATGACAGAAATATAAAATATATGTTGATAGCCTGATTTTGGACATACTGTAAGGTTTTTCTATATGATGTGGCTGTGGGTTTAAAGTTTAAACAAAATAAAAAATAAAAGTGAAAGATTTTCTCCCTAACTCTTTATTGTGAAAAATTTCAAACTTACCAAAAGGTTAAATAATAGTACAATAGGCCAGGCGCAGTGGCTCATGCCTGTAATCTCAGCACTTTGGGAGGCCAAGGCGGGAGGATCACGAGGCCAGGAGATTGAGACCATCCTGGCCAACATGGTTAAACCCTGTCTCTACTAAAAATACAAAAATTAGCTGGGTGTGGTGGCGGGTTCCTGTAATCCCAGCTTCTCGGGAGGCTGCAGCACGATAATTGCTTGAACCTAGGAGATGGAGGTTGCAGTGAGCTGAGATCCCACCACCACACTCCAGCCTGGTGGCAGAACAAGACTCCGTTTCAAAAACAAAACAAAACAAAAAAGAATAGTACAATAAATACCATATATCTTTCACCTAGATTCACAAAGTGTTAACATTTCCGACACCTTGAGTGCCTCCTCTCTCTTTTTATTTTTGTGGAACCACTTGAAAACATTTGCAGATATGACATTTCCACTCTCTAATACCTGGCATGTGTTTTCTAAAAATATACATTGTTTTATCTTTACAATGCCACTATCACGCTTAAGAAAATAAAATGTAACACGGTATCACCTATTATACAGTTCATTGTTACATTTTCCCAATTGCTCTCCAAATGTCTTTTATTCCTCTATTTTATGTCTCTTAATCTACTATGGTCCTATTGCCTTTTTTTGTATTTGATGACATTAACTGATGTTAGAGTCCAGGTCAGTTAATTGTCTTGTGGTATGGTCCATATTCTGGATTTGTCTGAATGTTAACTCATAATTAAATTCGGGTGAAGTGTTTTGAACAAGAATACTACACAGAAAATACTGTGTATTTATTATATCATATCGGACTGAACATACTGAAAGGTTTCTCCAATATTGGTGATGCTAAGTTTGCTAAGTTAAAGTGGTGCCGGCCAGATCTCTCCATTGTAAAGGTACACTGTTTAACTTTGGAACTAATAACCAATCTGTGGGTGATAATTTGAGATCATGGGTTTAGAATCCATTAATGACCTTATCTAAATCAATTATTATACTGAGTGTTTTAAAAATGGTGATTTTCGATTTTATCTTTCTTTCTATATTTACTAGCTGCTAGTTTATAAAGGAAAATTTTCCTTATCCCACCCTTTTCTTCCTTATTTTCTTCCTTCTTTCATTTCTTCCTTCTGTCCTTCCTTTTTTTCCTTATGTCTGCTTTTGGAGTATCATATATATATATGGAATGCTTCACGAATTTGCGTGTTATCCTTGCGCAGGGGCCATGCTAATCTCTGTATTGTTCCAATTGTAGTATGTGTGCCGCTGAAGCAAGCACATGGATTCTTTTTACCTAACACATTATAATCCATTATTGTCATTATTCGTTTTAAAGCTCAATTGTTCCCAAATTTGGCTATTACTGAAAGATTTTGAAGTAAGTCAAAAGCATGAGTAAATCTGAGGCAGGATGGCAAAAGCTACAAAACAGCTATTTTTCCAGTATTGTACACATTTTTTTTTCTTTTTATGGTTAATCAGGCAGCCTCCGAACCAGAATAGGTTCAGACAGACTCTTGTACACATTTATTGAGAGGTGTTATCCAAAACATCGAACAAACAGCAGCACATCACAGAAATTAACCAATCAGAATCTACACTGGCAGTAAAGAACTGGTAAATACTATGTACCGATTATTCTCTTCTTATTACTAACAGAAGCAAATTTTCAAGTTTCTTATGGGAATAATTTTATTTATACAAAATAATCTCAACTTTACTAATGTACTACTATAAAACAAAGTTGAATCAAATAATATTCAATAACAGCATGCCGTTTAAATTTCTTAATCTGGGCCAGACACAGTGGCCCACGCCTGTAATCCCAGCACTTTGGGAGGCCAAGGTGAGAGGATCACTTGAGGCCTGGAGTTCGAGATTAGACTGGCCAACATGGTGAAACCCCGTCTCTACTAAAAATACAAAAATTAGCCAGGCACCGTGGCACATGCCTGTAATACCAGCTACTTGGGAGGCTGAGGCAAGAGAATCGCTTGAACCCGGAAGGCAAAGGTTGCAGTGAGCCGAGATCGCGTTGCTACACTCCAGCCTGGGAGACAGAGTGAGACTCCATCTCGAAATAAATAAATAAATAAATAAATAAATCTCTTAATCTGACTCACTGGTGCTAACATGTCACAAGTAAACATTTTAAGATAACTTCGCTTTCAGAAAATGTGAAACTGTCGATTCTAAACAAGTACCTTAATTTACTCTTACCTTTTCTATCAGAAAATGTTGGTCTTGTTCCCAAATAAAACTACCAATTTTTCTTCTTATTTCTGTGATGAGAAAAACAAATCCAATACTTTTTTTTTTAAACCTTCCGAATTTTGCTTAAAGTCTGAAATTTCTAGGCCAGTGTTATTCTATTTTCAACAAAATCACATAACACACTTGTTAAAATGCAGATTCCTATTGAATCAGATCTTTAAGGAGGAGCTCTGGAATTTGCTTTTCTAAGAAACTCTCCAGATGATTCTAATACGCTTTACTAATCATTGTTGTAGACTTTTCCTGCTAGAATATATCTACATCTATATTTGGATCTCTATATACATTAGATGTGTGTGTGTGTGTGTGTGTGTGTATATATATATAATTGAGGTATGTTCATCCACTCTTCTTTTATATCTATATTTGTATCTACATATACATTAGATATATATCAGTATCTATATCTGTATCATTAGCTATACATTAGATGTATATATGTATACATATATAGATATACATCTGCATATATAGATATATCTATATATAATAATGCATATGTATCTATATAATGCATTAGATATATTAGATGTATATCTAATGTCTATATAACTATGGATATTGATACAGACACAGATATATAGATATAGATATAAAAGAAGGGTGGATGAACAATATGTCTAGATAACATGGTAGTACAGGAATTCTACAATGGTCCACATGTCAAAGGACAATGTCATCATCCAAACTCAATGATCTCAAAAGTTTTCGCAGTAGCCAAAAGGACAAAATAGGTGGTATTACTCTAGACTTTTGCTGTCCAGTATGGCAGCCACTAGCTACATGTAGGTACTGAGCACTGGAAATGTGTGGTTAATCCAAAATGAGAGGTGCTGTGAGTATAAAATAAATACAGGATTTTGAAGACTTAGTATCAAAAAAAGAATGTAGGGTATCTCAATTTTTATAGATTATATATTGAAATGATAATATTTTAGATGTATTAGGTTAAATAAAATACATTCCTAAAATTAATTATACTCAGTTAATTATGTAATTAAGTTTTTTAGAGAAGGGGGTCTCACTATGTTGCCTAGGCTGGAATGCAGTGGCTATTCACAGGGGTGATCCTGGTGCACTGCAGCCTCAAATTCGGGGGCTCAAGGGATCCTCCCACCTCAGCCTCTAGAGTAACTGGGATTACAGGTGCATGCCACCTTACCCAGCTATTTTTTATTCTTATTAATGTGGCTACTAGAAAATGTAAAATTCATATGTGGCTCACATTTGCATCTCACGGTTCTACTAGACAATAGGCAGATTAAAAAAGGTATGCTTTTAATTTTTAAAAAGAAGCACGTTTTCATTTAAAACAGATTTTTGAAAATTTAAATACATGTTAATATATGATGCTAAACTCAAAGGCAGAATAGGAGTGATAATCTAAAATCATGTAAGTAAATAGGAGTGATAAATTAAATCACAGCCATTCTACAATAGAAGCTCCTTGAAGGTGGGTATTCACTGATTGGCACAAGTAGTTTTTAAAATCAATTCCCCTATCCAGTCATTAATCTATTTGTGTAACCACTTAGAACAATTTAGTGTTATAAGTAGGTTTCACCAGGACATTGACTATGGAAGGAACCAAATCTCTGGGGTTTCTAATGGCTCTTTTATAGAAATAATTTTTAAGTTATTTGTTTTCTTTTCTTTTTAATACTCTCCTCACTGGGAATATGTACTCAGCTTCAATCTGTCTTTTTGGAGATGAACACATATCTATTGGATAGGCAAGCTACATATCAAGAATTGGGTAATAATACTTATGTTAAATAGATACAAAATTTAAAAATATGTGACTGAGAACAAAATAAGTACAGTGGAATTTGGCTGTTTCACAGAGATTAGCCGGATTTGACTGTCTGACAGGGATTGGCTGAATGATCTTTGCTAACCTTTATGCAGGCAAGCAGGAGGAAGAATGAAATGACCCAAAGCCACCGAGGTTTTTATTTCGGCATTAGCTACTGCAGAGAGATAGTAGGCATGAAAAACTGTAGCATTATCTTCTATGTAATCAAGGCTCTGATATATTCTAGGAGAAAGAAAGGAAATATTTTAGGTTATGAAACAAACAAGAATGTATTCAACCTTTCAAAAGAATAAATAAATAACTGGAAGTAGGGAGACGACTACATTGATGCATACATCTATGTGTCCTTTTCTGGCAAGGAAGGAAAAACATATGGCATAAGATACTACTTTCTGGGGGCCTATATCTGGCACATCTCAGCTTTACAGGGTTGGTTAATGACCATATGAATTAGAAAACTTGATCTAAAACGGTCGTGTTTACTAGGCATCAACAGTGGATTGAGCTAGCAGCCTATGGGTCTTATCCATTGTCATTGCTGTAAATAGGGATCAATTAATCCTGAGGTGAGGAGCGCTCATGCAGTCAGAAAAACCTTCACATATAGAAAGCAACATCTTTTCTACAGGTGGAGATAAGAAGAGCATTACAAGAAAAAGGCATGCGTGAAGGCACAATAATGGCAGTTCGGGTTGACTGGGCTACGGAAGGCGTGAGAAAAACTGGGAAATAAACAAGGTAGGCACAGACACGATCTAAATCTGTAGGAAATCGGTGGGTGGAGGGGGGAGTGGGGAAAGGAGGATGTGGTAGGGCCCTGATCTGATGTCTGGTTTGTAAACAAAATCTGCAGCCCTGCGAAGAGGAATCTCAGGGAACAGATTCGAGGCACAGTAACAGCTTAGGAAGTTATTTTGATAGTCCCGTCCAAAAGGGAATTAAGGTGCTACTAAGTTAGTGGCAGTGAGGATGAAGAACAATTACAGGGATCTAATTCGTGGTATTCGGCCACTGACTGTTTCATGGCATAGGGTTGTTATTCAAAATTTTGGAGAATACAGGCCCTGGCGCAGGTATGAAGGGATATAAGATTTGATTTAGACATTGAATATCAGGGGCCTTCAAGGCACCACACGCAGGTGTAGAAGAGGCAGCTGGAAACACACACTTGGAATTCAGGAAGAGGCCTGAGGACCAGGGAGAAGCCTGTGACACTGCAGCAGACAGGAAAGGTGGTTGTCTATTTCTTTCCCTCAAATCTAGGATCGAAAACTTGCCCTTTTCCAGCCTCACCCTATCGTCAATATTATTTATTTATTTTTTATTTTATTTTATTATCTTATTTAATTTTTGCGATGGAATCTTGCTCTGTCACCCAGGCTGGAGTGCGATCTTGGCTCACTGCAACCTCTGCCTCCCGAGTTCACGTAATTCTCCTGCTTCAGACTCCCGAGCAGTTGGGATTATAGGTGTCCAGCACGGCGCCCCGCCTCATCAATATTAGTGGACTGCAACTTCCTTCCCTAACTCCCGGCTCATCCTAACATAAGTGGCGCTGCCAGGTGGCCCTCAGTACCTCAGCGTGTCTGGGTGCGAGGCATCACAGCTGAACAAGAAGTCGGCGGCTCGCGGGTCACTGATCGTCCCCCCTTCAGTCACTGTGGAAGTAAGAGCACGGGGTGAACCTATCAAGCACCCTGGACCCAAAGCATCAGAGAGAGGAGGATGCTCCCCGTACCACCTAACCCGCTGCTTCCACTCAGCTTCCTACCCCAGAATTGCCTCAGATCCCGGCTAACGCTGCGGCAAAACCAACCGCGCTGCCCTTGAAACATGGCGTCGCCAAGCCTGCGCGGACGTGAGAGAGGAGGCCCCAGAGCTGAGATCCCTGATTGGTTCCAAGTCCAACGCCAAGCTCAATGATTGGTTCCCAGGAGAAATGGCAGGGAAAGGCCTGAGGCCCTCAGGTGAGGGACAGTCTCTGATTGCTTATCCGGATCACTTAGGGGCCTCTCAGCCTTGCCCTGATAAGAGGAGGAGAGCGACTCGAGTTGGTGAGGGATTTTTGTTGTTTGGTTGACTTTGTTTTAAATTTTGAGGTGGCGAGTGTTAACCCTAAATATTAACAAAGTTACCATGCTGTGTATGTACAGGCATAGGGCAGAGTCTGCAGCATCAAGTATTATTTTTGAAGCAAAATTCATTTCATCATTTCATCTATAAACGTTTCACTTTGAATCTGTTAAAAGTGAGGACTTAAAAAACACACACACAACCGCGACACCATCATCACACTTAAAAGATAGTTCTTTAATATAGTCAAATATCACCAGTGTTCAAATTTCTGTTTTACTCAAAATTGTTTTCCTTTTACAGTTTTCGGCCTCTTACAATAGTTGTGATAAGTAGTTGTTTTTCTAGTATTGTGTTCCTTTAAACTAAACATTAAAAAATTGTTTATATAAAGTTGTCCATAAAATCTTTTACTATCTTTTAAAATATCTGTGAGAGCTCTAGTCATGGTTCTTTTTTTTTCTTTTTGTTTTTCTTGTTTTTAAATTTTTCCTCCTACTTTAGTCACCTCTCTGACAATCTTTTTTCATTTCTGATTCTGGTTATTTGTACCTTCCCTTTTTTTATTTCCTAGTCTCATTAGAATTTTGTCAATTGTATTAGCCTTTTCAAAGAACATACTTCTGGTTTTATTGATATTCTCTTTATATATTTCTTTTGTATATCATTAATTTTAGCTTTTTATAATTTCCTTCCATTTTTCTTTGTTTAAAATTGCTGTTCTTAGGCTGGGCACAGTGGCTCATGCCTGTAATCCCAGCACTTTGGGAGGCTGAGGTGGGCGGATCACCTGAGGTCAGGAGTTCGAGACCAGCCTGGCCAACATGGTGAAACCCTGTCTCTACTAAAAATACAAAAAATAGCTATCTGTGGTGGTGCATGCCTGTAATCCCAGCTACTAGGGAGGCTGAGGCAGGAGAATTGCTTAAGCCCAGGAGGCAGAGGTCGCAGTGAGCTGAGATCACACCACTGCACTCCAGCCTGGGTGACAGAGCAACACTCCATCTCAAAAAAAAAAAATTGCTGTTCTTTTTCTAATTTCTTGAACTGGATGATTGTATTTCATCCTTTATTTTTCTAATATGTGCATATAAAGCTGTAAATTTCCTTTGAAATCTGTGCCACATGTTTTTGAGATGTCTTTTTATTATTGGTCAATTCAAAGTATTTTCAGATTTCCCGTATGAGTGTTATGACTAGTGGATTATGCAAAATGTTTTTAAATCTCCAAGTACATATGATTTTCTAGTTATCTAGTTGTTATTGATTTCTGGAGTTTGAGACTAGCCTGGCAACATGGTGAAATGCTGTCTCTACTAAAAATATAAAAATTATTTGAGTGTGGTGACACATGCCTTTGGTCCCAGCTACTTGGGAGACTGAGGCAGGAGAATCACTTGAATCCAGGAGGTGGAGGTTTCAGTGAGCTGAGATCGTGCCACTGCACTACTACAGCCTGGGCGAGAGAGCAAGACTCTATCTCAAAAAAAAAAAAAAAAAAGGTGTTTTGTGTGATCTTTTCTCTTGAAGACCAGGAAGAGTTTATCTTTAAATGTCCCATTTTACTTCATGTGCCCTTCACACTTGTAAACTATTCTTCACCTTTTTTATCCTAATGCATGCATAGTTACATTGATATATTTGTTTTTAGCCATAACAAGTTTCAATGTGCATTCTTGTCAATACTGTTTCCTTCAAAATCTATAAAGGCTAATGATTTTACTAGCTTATGACTTAAAGTTTACTGTTTCAGGAGAATTTTCCCAAATACTCAGTTGCCTCAAGCCATTCAGTTCCGGGGTCCCGACAAAAAGTTGGTTGACCCTGCAGCCATGAGCATAACTCTCAAAGTTACGTCACCCAAGCGAGATTTGTCCATCTATCCTATCTATCCTGACCCTTGCCTCCTGGGTCCTAATGACTGTCAGATAAACTTCCTCCTGCCTCTCTTTTCTGAAGTTAGTCCTGCTTCTAAATACCACTCCCTGTCCCTGGTGCTTTTCTAGTTTCTCTTATAAGAATAATTTCTAGTATAAATTTCAGGACTCTGTTCCCTTTTTTTAGGCACCCAGGCTCACCAATCAGAAAGACAATTATTGCCCAAAGGCCTGTGGCAGGGGGGACTATCTGGAATTTTAGGATCCCTCTTCAGACTAGCAGGCCTAATGAAGACTATTCCTGAAGCTAAGATATGGGGAGCCTCATAAATTATAGACTCCAAAATTGAGGGGACTGATATCCTTCCTATTCATATGATGACAAGTGAGGACAAAAGGCATCACTCTTACAACCCTGGAGATCCCTTCCATCCCTCAAGGTATGGCCCTGCACTCCATTTTGAGGCATATCTTTATTGGACAAGGGTAAATTCCCAATACTAACAGAAGAAAATGCTTAGGACTCTAACTAACAGGTTTTCGAGAATGCATCAGTAAGGACCATTAAATCTGATTTTTTCTCAGTCCTCTTTGTGGTCTAAGAGGAAAGGCAAGAGTGCAGGTTTTCGAGAATGCGTCGGTAAGGGCCACTAAATCTGACCTTCCTCAGTCCTCTTTGTGGTCTAGGAGGAAAACCAGTGTTTCCGCTGCTGATTCAGTGAGCGCAACTATTCTGAACAGCAGGGTCCAGGGACCGTTGCATGTTCTTGGGCAGAAATAAAAAAAAAAAACCAAAACTGTGGGTGGTTTTCTCTTTCAGATGGGAAACACTCAGGCATCAACAGGCTCACACTTGAAATGCATCCTAAGCCATTAGTACCAATTTGACCAACAAACCCTGAAAAAGAAGAGGCTTATTTTTTTCTGCACTATGGCCTGGTCCCAATATTCTCTCTCTCATGGGGAAAAATGGTCACCTGAGGGAAGTATAAATTACAATACTATCCTGCAGCTTGACCTTTCCTGTAAAAGGGAAGGCAAATGGAGTGAAACACCTTATGTCCAAGCTTTCTTTTCATTGAAGGATAATCCACAACTATGCAAAGCTTGCAATCTACATTCCACAGGAGGACCTCTCAGCTTACACCCATATCCTAGCCTCTCTACAGCTTCTCTTCCTATTAATGATAAACCTCCTCCAATCTCCCCCACCCAGAAGGAAACAAGCAAAGAAATCTCCAAGGGACCACAAAAACCCCCAGGCTATCAGTCATGTCCTCTTCAAGCTGTAGGGGTAGTGGAATTTGGCCCAAACTGGGTACATGTCCCCTTCTCCCTCTCTGATTTAAAGCAGATCAAGGTAGATCTGGGGAAGTTTTCAGATGATCTTGATAGGTATATAGATGTCCTACAGGGTCTAGGGCAAAACTTTGACCTAACTTGGAGAAATGTCATGCTACTGTTAGATCAAACCCTGACCTTTAATGAAAAGAGTGAAACTTTAGCTGCAGCCTGAGAGTTTGGAGATACTTGGTATCTTAGTCAAGTAAATGATAGAATGACAACCAAAGAAAGGGACTAATTCCCTACTGGTCAGCAAGCCATCCCCAGTATGGATCCCCACTGGGACCTCGACTCAGATCATGGGGACTGGAATCGCAAACATCTGGTGACCTGTGTTCTAGAAAGACTAAGGAGAATTAGGAAAAAGTCAATGAATTATTCAGTGATGTCCACCATAACTCATGGGAAGGAAGAAAATCCGTCCACCTTCCTCAAGTGGCTACGGGAGGCCTTAAGAAAATATACTCCCCTGTCACCCAACTCCCTTGAGGGTCAATTGATCCTAAAAGATAAGTTTATTATGCAATCAGCTGCAGATATCAGGAGAAACCTCCAAAAGCGAGCCCTGGGCCCTGAACAAAATCTGGAGGCATTATTAAACCTGGCAACCTCGGTGTTCTATAATAGGAACCAAGAGGAACAGGCCGAGAAGAAAAAGCGAGATTAGAGAAAGGCCACAACCTTAGTCATGGCCCTCAGATGAACAAATCTTGGTGGTTCAGAGAGGACAGAAAATGGAATAGGCCAATCACCCAATACGGCTTGTTATCAGTGTGGTTTGCAAGGACACTTTAGAAAAGATTATCCAATGAGAAACAAGCTTCCCCCTTGCCCATGTCCACTATGCCAAGGAAATCACTGGAAGGCACACTGCCCCAGAGGACAAAGTTTCTCTGGGCCAGAAGCCCCCAACCAGATGATCCAACAGATGATCCAACCAGATGAGGGTGCCTGAGGCAAGCGCCAGCTCATGTCATCACCCTCACTGAGTCCTGGGTAAGTTTAACCATTGAGGGCCAGGAAATTGATTTCCTCCTGGACACTGGCGTGACCTTCTCAGTGTTAATCTCCAGCCCCAGACCACTGTCCTCAAAGTCCGTTACCATCTGAGTAATCCTAGGATAGCCTGTAAGCAGGTATTTCTCCCACCTCCTCAGTTGTAATTGGGAGACTTTGCTCTTTTCACATGCCTTTCTTGTTACGTCTGAAAGTCCCACACCCTTATTAGGGAGGGACATATTAGCCAAAGCTGGAGCCATTATCTATATGAATATGGGGGACAAGTTACCCATTTGTTGTTCCCTACTTGAGGAGGGAATCAACCCTGAAGTCTGGGCATTGGAAGGACATTTCAGAAGGGCAAAAAATGCCCGCTCAGTTCAAATCAGGCTAAAAGACCCCACCACTTTTCCTTATCAAAGGCAATATCCATTAAGGCCTAAAGCTCATAAAGAATTACAGGATATTGTTAGACATTTAAAAGTTCAAGGCTTAGTAAGAAAACGCAACAGGCCCTACAACACCCCAATTCTAGGGGTACAAAAAGCGAATGGTCAGTGGAGACTAGAGCAAGATCTTATAAGGACTCATCAATGAGGCAGTAATTTCTCTATACCTAGTTGTACCCAACTCCTATACCCTGCTCTCTCAAACACCAGAGGAAGCACAATGGTTCACTGTTCTGGACCTCAAGGATGCCGCCTTCTGCATTCCCCTGCACTCTGACTCCCAGTTTCTCTTTGCCTTTGAGGATCCCACAGACCACACATCCCAATTTATGTGGACGGTCTTGCCTCAAGGGTTTAGGGATAGCCCTCATCTGTTTGGTCAGGCACTGGCCCAAGATCTAGGCCACTTCTCAAGTCCAAGAACTCTGGTCCTTCAGTATGCGGATGATTTATATTTTATTATTATTATTATTGTACTTTAAGTTCTAGGGTACATGTGCACAACGTGCGGGTTTGTTACATAGGTATACATGTGCCATGTTCGTTTGCTGCAACCATCAGCTTGTCATTTACATTAGGTATTTCTCCTAATGCTATCCCTCCCTCTGCCCTCTACCCCATGACAGGCCCCCATGTGTGATGTTCCCTGCCCTGTATCCAAGTGTTCTCATTGTTCAATTCTCACCTGTGAGTGAGAATATCAGGTGTTTGGTTTTCTGTCCTTGTGATAGTTTGCTCAGAATGATGGTTTCCAGCTTCATCCATGTCCCTGTAAAGGACATGAACTCATCTTTTTTGTGACTGCATAGTATTCCATGGTGTATATGTGCCACATTTTCTTAATCCTGTCTATCACTGATGGACATTTGGGTTGGTTCCAAGTTTTTGCTATTGTGAATTGTGCCACAATGAACATACGTGTGCATGTGTCTTTATAGTAGCATGACTTATAATCCTTTGGGTATACACCTAG